CAGGTAGACTATTACTGTCCGAGGGCAAGGCGCTGTGAGGAGTTACCAGGGGATTACGCTGACGCTCAACACTCAAAGGAAAGTCGAGACGGATATACAAACAGACACTTACTGATGCTTGTCGGAATGGGATGCTGAAGCTCCGGACGGAACGTTTATGGGAGTGTCCCTAGTGCTGTGATGTTGATTCTTAATTCAGAAGGAAAAAAAAAAAACAATTGCCGTCGCCATCACTGATGTTTGGAGCCTCATAAGATCCTCAGCGCTCATTATCGTTCGGCAAGTCATTTCTCTATCCACAACTGGCCCTAAGTTTATTACGTAAAGACACTTTTGTTTCCATAATCTAGGGGCCATGTGATCAACATCATGCCGGTCATCGCTAATGCATGACCTGGTAGCCATTTTTGGCTGCGACGGCCTGGGAGCTAGTGTCGGTGTTGGGAATAGCCGGCTGAATGCCAGTAAAAAAAAGGTAACGTCGGGAGATTTGAACCAGCGTCATTGCACACGGTTATAAACCATAAGTGCTCTGCACCCAGTACGGACAGCTGATAAGAAACTGTCCGCTTGTGTCGCTGTCCGCACGAACAGCGACCATAGCTGCAGCGAGTTGCAGCTGGATTTGAAAGCGAGCCTCGTATCGACTGCGCTAACGCCAGTTCGAACATAACATAATACCTTTAGGATTAAACGCGAGCATCTGGCCACTTTACAATCGCTGCTGCCATGACCGACTGTATTTATCGTTTTATAAAAATATACTTACTTTTATATTTTATATACTTTTTATATACTTTACATATTTTATAGATATATTAACAGATATGAATGTGTGTATGCCGGTGTCTGTGGCTTTGGCGTTGCAAACGAGTGTCGTAATGCCAGTGTGCCGGGTTCGATCCCAACTGCGGACGGTTTGTTTTGCGTTGGTTTCGACAGCGGTGCCGAGAGCTGACCGTTCAGTGGCAATGGCAAACTACTAAACGTAGATTATGCCTGAAAAAACCGCGACAACCAAACATGCTACATATTTTAGACAAATGGGATTTTAATTTGTGATGTGATCAACATCACACCGGCCGCCATCACCTCCCAGGACTTTGCCTGGTACACATTTAAGACTGGGTCGAACTGGGAACCAAGAGCTTTTTTTCTTTTTCTTTTTCAAAGTCCAGCTCCGTCAGAACCTGTACCCAGGACGTTCGTATCCGCGGGTGAGCTTCTAGCCACTACACCATGGTGGCTGTCTATAACACACACACACACAAACAAAACATATATATATATATATATATATATTATATATATATATATATATATATATATATATATATATATATATATATATATATACATTCATACATACATATGTGTATGGAGAGGGGGGGGGGGGGTTCTTTAATGCGTAGATACTTATTAATTCCTACAATTAGTTTTTTTTTTTTTTTCTTTTTAACAAAAGCTGTACTTGCTGCCTATCTGTCTGAATCTTACCCTCTCTCCTCCCCCCCCCCCCACACACTAGTTCTCATTCCACCAGTTCTCAATCCACCAGTTCTCACTCCACCAGTTCTCAATCCACCAGTTCTCAATCCGCCAGTTCTCAATCCATCAGTTCTCAATCCACCAGTTCTCAATCCACCAGTTCTCAGTCCACCAGTTCTCAATCCACCAGTTCTCAATCCACCAGTTCTCAATCCACCAGTTCTCAATCCACCATTTCCTACTCCACCAGTTCTCAATCCACAAGTTCTCAATCCACCAGTTCTAAATCCACCAGTTCTCACTCCACCAGTTCTCAATCCACCAGTTCTCAATCCACCAGTTCTCACTCCACCAGTTCTCAATCCACCATTTCTTACTACACCAGTTCTCAATCCACCAGTTCTCACTCCACCAGTTCTCACTCCACCAGTTCTCAATCCACCAGTTCTCAATCCACCAGTTCTCACTCCACCAGTTCTCAATCCACCAGTTCTCACTCCACCAGTTCTCAATCCACCAGTTCTCAATCCACCAGTTCTCAATCCACCAGTTCTCAATCCACCAGTTCTCAATCCACCAGTTCTCAATCCACCAGTTTTCAATCCACCAGTTCTCAATCCACCAGTTCTCAATCCATCAGTTCTCAATCCACCAGTTCTCAATCCACCAGTTCTCAATCCACCAGTTCTCAATCCGCCAGTTCTCAATCCACCAGTTCTCAATCCACCAGTTCTCAATCCACAAGTTCTCAATCCACCAGTTCTCAATCCACCAGTTCTCAATCCGCCAGTTCTCAATCCGCCAGTTCTCAATCCACCAGTTCTCAATCCACCAGTTCTCAATCCACCAGTTCTCAATCCACAAGTTCTCAATCCACCATTTCTCAATCCACCAGTTCTCAATCTATTTCCCCAGAGTTCGTTATATACAAGACTAATTCACTGCCAACCCATTCCTGCCACCTTACCTTCCAAATCCCCCTTCAGACATACACATTATTCCAGATAGCCTTGTCTGCATTTTCTCACGGTCAAAATGGAATCACCAGAACGGAATAATCAGTGTGGTTTCTATCTCATAAATCAGAGATTCTGACGCCGGACAAGAGATTTTATCGCACAGAATACATCGAGGTTTTTGCATCATGTTCTTTAATTGACACCTTGTTTACGGGGCCGCTTATATGCAACCGTGTCTTTTATTTTTGACTGAGAGGATTTGGCGTTGTGCAATACACATGCAAGATCAGCGTTTGTTGTGTTTTGCAATGTTTATTTCTGAGGGGAAAGCGATTTGGTTGTTCTGTGCCAAGCTATTTACACACTTTTATTAGATTATCCAAACTAGTGTATGTTTTAGATTTTAGATTTATTGTATGTTTTAAATTCTCCAAACTGTTGTATATTTTAGATTTTCCACATATTCGTATTTTTTAGATGCTTCAGACTGTTGTATATATTAGATGCACTAAAATGTATGTATTAGATTCTCCAAATTGTTGAATGTTCTACGTGCTCCAAATTGTTGTATATGTTAGATGTCCCAAATTGTTGTATATGTTAGATGTCCCAAATTGTTGTATATGTTAGATGTCCCAAATTGTTGTATATGTTAGATGTCCCAAATTGTTACTGTTTCATAGGTGCCCAAATTGTTGTATGTATTAGATGCTTCATTTTGTTTTAGTGTCATAATCTCCAAATTGTTGTAAATGTTAGATGTCCCAAATTGTTACTGTTTCAGAGGTGCCCAAATTGTTGTATATGTTAGATGTCCCAAATTGTTACTGTTTCAGAGGTGCCCAAATTGTTGTATATGTTAGATGTCCCAAATTGTTACTGTTTCAGAGGTGCCCAAATTGTTGTATATGTTAGATGTCCCAAATTGTTACTGTTTCATAGGTGCCCAAATTGTTGTATGTTTTAGACGCTTCATTTTGTTTTAGTGCCATAATCTCCAAATTGTTGAATGTTTTAGATGCTTCAACTAACTGTACTGTTGTACACATTTCTTAAAGACTTGTTATAATATGCCAAGTCAGTATCTGTAGGTAAATGGTTATGAATGCATTTGTTCATAATTCCGAAATATCAGTGGTTGGGGGAAGCTAGAGCGGCTAGGAACCAATGGTTTTGAAAACCCTGAAAACGATTTGACCGTCACCTTGCCAGAGGCAGAGCCACACTCCCAAATGTAAAGTAAAGGACTCTTTTCCACGCCTTCGGGCGTATTGGGCACATAGGGCTAGACCTGTAGTTTACAGACCACTTGGCAGGTGATGTGGTCAGCATCATGTCGCCCGCCTTTGCTTCCCAGGACTTTACCTGGTACCCAGTGAAAGCTGATTTTACCTGAGAGCCAAGACTCCCAAATGTGCAACTTATCTATAGCATACACCAGTTGAAGGAGCTAAATAGGTACCTGAACATACCAAACTTCCCTTAGGGTCTCCGGCATTTGAGCTTAAGTTTACATTTAATCTACTCTGTAGAGCCCCAGGCGTCGTTGTGAATATATTACCAGAAATCGACAGTCGTTATGAAGATGCACCTTCTTCTCGACTTTTGACCTTTTACGGCAGAAGACCGTCCGTCCTTACGAGGGCAACAAACAAACAAAACATTAATAAATAAAAATAGTAAATAAAGATAACTACTCTGGTAGTGTCCAAAAGTTCACAGAACTGAAACCTCGAGTGTACACATAGATGCCTATGCGTGATAATTGCACGTACCTAGACTGAATGTGTAAGTTCTTAAGTCCATTCAAGTAGAAAAAAAAATGTTGAAAAAATATAGATTCGAATTACGACCAGTTCGACTAGCGACCTGTTCGACTTACAACCAGTTCGACTTACGACATATTAGTCACGACAGAACTCGGTCGTAAACCGAAGACAACCTGCATTTAATGAAAGTGGCTGTTTACGTCTAAATAGACGTTGTCTTCTAAAGCAGATGATGTTGCCATCACGGCCAGCTCCAGATTTTTATAAGGCCGTACAGCTCGAACGGGAATTCCCGTTCTTGTGCAAGAATTGAGTCCCTCTGCGTCCACAGTTTTTATCGAGGAGATGTATACGCAAATTAAACTACAGTTTCATTATTTTCGACATATTGTTTTAGAACTATACGTCATTTTCGAAGGTAAAAAAGTGTGCCGAATAAATATAAAAATAAAGGCTCTTACAGACAAACAAAAATACTTATGCTACAGTCAACATGAACATAAGCATCAGTAACGTTTAGATGTAAACTAAAGTTGTTCCAGCAAAAGCAAAGAAATATCAGTGCTAACTCTTTGATTCTGAGAGGGTATTGTTGAATAATTAAAGAAGGGCGTGGTTGCCATCAACCGGTGAATTGATCACAAGAAGTAAACGCTACCACAAGGATTGTAATCTTTTGTTTAAACATGATGGTAAATATTAGAATGTCCAATTGCCTGCAGGTCAGACGGAGAAAACATGGCGGCTTCGACTTGCAGACGATAACAGGTTTGAGCAGTCAGAGATGTTCGAGCTGAGGCTCAGCGATCCTGTCATGGCCGTCATTGAATACCCGGATGTTGCCAGAGTCACCATTCTGGATCCGGAAGATGGTAGGTACTTTCTCGTTATGTCAGGGGGTTGGTTGTCTAATAGGGATTAGTTGTCTAATAGGGATTGGTTGTCTAATAGGGATCGGTTGTCTAATAGGGATTGGTTGTCTAATAGTTATTGGCTGTCTAATAGGGATCGGTTGTCTAATTGGGATTGGTTGTCTAATAGGGATTAGTTGTCTGATATGGATTAGTTGTCTAATAGGGATTGGTTGTCTACCTGCGAAAGTAATTATACACGCGAGATGTAATTATACACGCACACACACAGACTCTCGCACGCGCACACTCACATACATAGAGAGAGGGAGAAAAAGAGAGAGAGGTCGAGAGAAAGAAAGACAGACATAGAGACAGACTGACGTGTGGAACCATACTTGGGCTCGCGTGGATTAAATTCAGGTAAGTAATGCTTTCTACACGAATGTAAGGTATTTCCTAACCGAAAGACTGACAAATCTACAGATGATTAGAAAGATAAATAAGCAGACGGGGGTATAAAGTTAGGCAGCTATGTTTGGAAGGGTGGATGGACCGAAAGGTTGCTGGCTAAATGAATGATAACTAAAATTGACAAACTATCCGACAAATGGACATAAATATAGGCGATGAGTGGACGTTTATTTATATGGACCAGTCGACCGATGCAGTGAAATGAATGAAAGTCGTTGTGTTGAATACTGTTGCTAATTGTATCATTGACTGAACTGCGATATGGTGATTGGTCATTATACATATTATGGTCTTGCCCGATGTGCAGTGAGAATAATATGTCGATTAACTAAATAGCTCACATGATGTTTGATTGATGGCATGCAGTGCATCAAAGGTCTTAGCCTTGGTTAACAGCAGGTTTAGGCAGGAAGCTCCGACAGACAGACAGACAGACAGACAGACAGACAGACAGACAGACAGACAGACAGACAGACAGACAGACAGACAGACAGACAGACAGACAGACAGACAGACAGACAGACAGACAGACAGACAGACAGACAGACAGACAGACAGACAGACAGACAGACAGACAGACAGACAGACAGACAGACAGACAGACAGACAGACAGACAGACAGACAGACAGACAGACAGACAGACAGACAGAGCATCGATCCTCTTCTGTTCTGGCAGCTTCTGCAAACAGTTTTGTCACAAACGTGTTGATGTTACCGTTCCTTTGGAGTTAACAAGGCAGGGTGAGTGTGGGATCGTTCTGCGTGGGCAACAATCTCTGCACTAAAGCTCTGGCTTAGCGCTACGGCTCGCCATTGCCAGGGGCTGTGATTCTCCATGCTTGACTTCAACACATAGAACACTATCGTCTGCAAAGAGCAAAAGACGCCAACAATCTTCCTCTGCCTTTCTAACCCCCAATGGAGCATAGGCCCTCAACCAACTCACACTAAGTTGTTCTATTCTATCCTTCGCTATCGTATGCAGCTCTCCCCATGTCCTCCCCATCTTTTTAACTTCCATCTCTAGCTCCCTTCTCCCTTCTCCTGCTTTTATGGACCTGTGGGCTCCAATGCAAAGGCATTCTAGTTATATTGTTCTCAGGTGTTCTCGGTGTGTCTTATCCACCGCTAACGTCTTTTCTTCACCTCTTGGTCCACTGGGACAGTTCTCTCCCAAAGCTCTACATTCCTGATTCTATCATACCATTTAGTGACAACAATAGTGCATCAATCATTATTGACAGACCCTTTATATGAAATTATTTATCTGCCTGTCTATAGGTGAAATAATATATATGATTAGCAGATGCAGCATGAGAATGGAGGCTGAGGCAGTAACTGTGACGTTCCGATGAGTGTATAAAATTGTCAGCCACACATGTCATAATATCGTATTTCCGGTGCATACTCAGGAATGTAGAATCAGGTTTTATTCATATGGAAGGAGTCACATCAATTCAGGTGTTGCAGGTGGTAAAAGTTACATGGATATTTGCCCGGGCAATGTAGGTGTGTTTTGGAAAGAGTAGGTAGATAGGTTGGCTGGACTGACGCCCCACTTGGAGGCGTACTGCAGCTCCACAAGACAGAGGGCGATCTCTCACCCGTGGGATGTTATAACAAATAAAATCAAAGATATAAAAACTCGCAACTCATCAATCAAAGTCGTCCGCCATGTGGGATGCAATTTTTCTTTTTTTTGAAGCCCCACCCTGACATTTGCCAGGGGCCGCAATAAAGCCTGACGGTTAAACGCAGTTTCCGGAACCTCTGCACTGGTGATCCTCATCCGCGTGGTGGCACTTTGTGTCACCGGGTGTTTATCGCTCTGTGTGATGTCCTGGTAAGGCAAAATTTACTTACTTACTAACCCGCAACCGGAAAGAATGATGCAACGGGGAGTGTCTGCTGGCTCTGGGCGCCACTCGAGGCTCAGGGGGGAAGGCAAGACGAGTAGTTAACCAGATGATAACGGGTACCATGAGTATGGAGACGCTTCACAGACTGTTGAGGGGGGATATAAAGCTAATATGGGCTCGTCATGAATACCATGAAGTCAAATCGTTTACCCAGATAGATTTTTCATATACATCAATTATTGTCATGTATCTTCCAGAGTCGCAGATATTCTTTTCAGACAGTGAGTACCGCGTTTCTGAGGACATTGGGGAAATTCTGATCCCCATTAAAAGGATCGGGGACGTTTCCGATGAGACCATGGTGATTTGCTCCACAGTGCAAGGTAGGTGGTGATCTCATGGTTTGTCTAATTATTGTTACAATACTGTGCCTTTGATCTCGGCATGGAGATCGTACAAAACAGTGAATGGTGATCGCCAAGTGACGTGGAAAAAGACTGTTGATTATAGTGTTCTTCCACTTGTTTTACCTGTGGACCTGCAAAACAGGGGACATTCTCTTGGGACCAGATAATTGCTACATCTCCACCACCCCCATGTGTTTTCATAATTATTTAGATTTTCAACCGCAGATGTACAGACTTCTCATGAAAAGAAAAACATCCTTGGCTTTTTGTTTTATAAATAGTTTTAAAAAATATTTTAATTATAATGAAACTGAAAAGAAAATGTTAGTACAAGGTGTTATTACAAGAACATTCACTCTCACTTTCAACACTGCTTGACGCCCCCCCCCCCCCACCCCCAACATCCCCGCCACCCTTTGAAACGTCTTCACGCCAAGCTAGGGGTTGCCTCCCCCTTTCTGTTGGAGACCACGGCTTTACATGGTCCACGAATTACTGCTTGAAGAACATTGGGTTATAATGATGATGATGGTAATGATGATGACAGTGATGATTATTATGATGATGGTGGTGGTGGCAATGTTGATGATAATACTAATACTGATAATAGTGATGATGAGGGAGGATTTATGCATATGATAGTGGTGATGATAATGTAGTTTAGGCTGATGATGTTGATAGTGGCGATAATGATAATGATGATATTGCTGGTGGTTAGGTTAATGATGCTGGAGAGGTTGATGATGATAGTTATCTGCTGTTCTAGTGCCTCATTTAACGACTGGCACAGCGAGTCGGCAGTGGTTTATTTGATTGCTACTACTCAAGAAACAATAAATCTTTGAATTATTTCTTGATTCAATGATTCATTATTTCTGTAAGAAACATTATAAACAAAAATAAGAAGGAGACAAACAAGGTTCTTTGGTTATGTGATGATAAAGCGAGCATAGGAAAATATGACAACTGGAAAGATCACTGGTAGAAGAGACAGAGGCAGACTAAAAGAAATGATGGTAGATGGCTTAAGACAGTTACATAAAGGAAAATCAGTGGAATTGATCCAGAACACCAAAGACCGAGATCTGAAGAGATGCAAGACCGACTACGCGAGCTGGCAAGGCACTTGACGATGATGATGATAATGATGACAACAAATAATAATAATGATAATGCGTTAATGATAGTGATGAAAACGATGATGATGATTCTCTAAAAACCCATATTTTAATCTAGAGATAAAACGTCTACACTTTCAGGAACTGCCAACGGTACAATTCCCAGTACAGTAACATCTTATTCCGACTACATCACGCGGCCAGCTGACCACAGAAGCGTCATCAGGTTTGACAAAGGTGACCAGGAGAAGTTCTGCAGGGTGGCCATCATTGACGACTCCCTGTTTGAGAAGGAGGAGAAATTCAAGGTGGTTCTGTCGGAGCCGATGGGTGGCAAATTGGGCGATATTCACTCTATTGACGTCATCATTGAGCCGGACAAGAATGACGGTAAGTTTTTGAATGATCAGAGGAACGTTTGTAAGTTAAAAAAAAAAAACAGATTTCTTTTCACGCCTTTAGGCGTATAAGGCTTATGGGAAGAGCGCTCCATATTTTTACAGACCATCGGCACTAGGTGGGTAATGTGGTCAGCATTACGCCAGCCGTCTTTACTTCCCTAGGACAGCCATCCTGGTAACCATTTTAGGCTGGGTCGACCTGCGACGCCCCATACCATAATATAAATCCACGCAGCCAGCAGTGGGTTTCGATCGCAGTAGGAACTTTTGTACTTGTTTCTAATCTACGTAGCATCTACATACTGTTTTACTAACCGGCCTTCGTGTGTGGGATTAGGGGTCCCATTTGTGTGTATGTGGGGTGGGTGGGGGAGGGGGGGATTAGACCTACTGTCCCTTAACAAGCATGCCGTAAAGATCAACCGAATAACGCTTTACTCTGATATCACAGCCCCACTTTAAACCGCCAGAAGTAGAAGAACTAAAAGCCGCCTGTCAGTAAATCACTTTAATACGTCCTAACTAGGTCACCACCCGGAAAGTTTAAAAAAAAAGAACCCTTCTCACCGATTGATGCATCGGTATGTGGTGCATACCATTGTTTTGTAAACCAAGACGCCGGCCGTCTTTACTTCCCGTGATATTTCTTTGTACCCAGGAAGCCAACATGGGAGCCAATGCCATTTATACAAATTAAAAAAAAGCAATCGCCTAACGCTTCCTCTTCTCCTTCTCCTTCTTCTTCTTCTTCTTCTTCTTCTTCTTCTTCTTCTTCTTCTTCTTCTTCTTCTTCTTCTTCTTCTTCTTCTTCTTCTTCTTCTTCTTCTTCGTCTTCTTCTTCTTCTTCTTCTTCTTCTTCTTCTTCTTCTTCTTCTTCTTCTTCTTCTTCTTCTTCTTCTTCTTCTTCTTCTTCTTCTTCTTCTTCTTCTTCTTCTTCTTCTATTGTCTTTCTTTTTTTACGTCCTTCTTATCTTCTTTTGTTTTTAATTCCATTTTTTATGGGAAAGGGGGAGGGTGGTGTTCTTCTATTCTGCTCAAGGGTCGGATCACAAAGAAATTTTACACCAGCCTTACAGGCCAGTAAAAAATGTTCTGAGGGCCAGCGTTCTTCATTCAGTAGCCAAGAACTCTTGGAAAACTCCAGGTGGGCCGCCAAAATTGTTTGACTAATTATGTAACTAGGTAGAGTAGGTAGTTGTTCTCTTGCAAGATTGCAGTCTGTACACATCAAGGATGAAAATAATCCCTGAGTGGCAGCAGTTATCGCATTAGCTGAAAATTGTAAATTGTTAACATCAAATTTAACAAAGTTACTGCTATCTATATGTGTTTCTCTCCTTTCTTGGGTAATAATATTGTCCTATTTTGTCTGGAATTCAGGTCGCTTTGCAAACATTGGAGGCCAAATATTACCTCACTGCTGAGTGCAGTTTGTGGGCTTTTTACGAGGGGTAATTCTCATCCGAAAATTCATTTGCTTTGTTTTAATTAGATAACAAACAGAAAGGGGAGTGTACTCTTCCATGAGGAGGCTATTTGTGTTGGCTTGGTTATATAAATATTCATGTCAGTTGTGTCCCTGCTATCATAGTCTATCTGATTATAAGGCTTTTCGTTCTCAAGGGATTCCCCGCTTTAGGACAACGCTATTTACGAACACATTGTATCCCGTATGTACGAATGTAAAGATATATGCTGCCCTGTGCAGTGGCAATGAAATAAGTAAATACGGCCAGAGTAACAAGTTTCCCCACTTTTCAAAGAGGATTTAGGAAGTGAAAAAGAAACCAAATAGAATACCAATGGAAGGTTTGCTTACTCTGCAGATCTCCGTCCCCAAGGGGGCTGCGTGGTCTACAGATATGGTGTCAGCCTCGAGTGCTAGAGGCCCCGGGGAAGACTAGGATTTTTTTCACGTGGACTTCCAGTAATTACCCCTAGTCTCTGGGTAGTGAGATCGGACGCCCGTGTGTATTGTGGCGCACGTAAAAAAAATCTCTTGGCAGTTAGAAATCAAAAAGAGTAGCCTAACAAAATCTACCAAAAATATTTCAGGATCCTCGTCGGTGCAACGGAGTTTGTGAACTGTGCTGAGCTACTTCGGACTCAGACTTCAGTAAGAAGTAGGAGCACTTACGGGCTAATACCTGTGTGCCATGATGTTCACAAGTTGTTCAGACCAAACCAAACCATCTCCGTCCCCATGTGAAACGCAATTTTTCGTTATTTTAAAGTTCCGTTTACCTGCTACTAAAGTACCTACTTACAATGTGTTTTTTTTTCTTTGATTTTTTTCCCGTGTTATTGTAGAAGTCGCTATTGACTGACTTTTTGCCCCACCAGGATATCACACTGAGCGATAAACACCCGGTGACACAAAGTGCCATCATTCGGATGATGATAACCCGTGGAGAGGTTCCAGAAACCCCGTTCAACCTTTAGGTTATATTAGGGCCCCCGGCAACAACCAGGGTGGGGTTTCAAACTAATGACAAATTTCCTCCCACATGGCAACGGGTTTTATAAGTGGCCATTGCTTATTTCATACATTTAATAGTCGCTGTCGCATCTGGCATTTTCAATACTCTAGTAATAATTCCTTGGCAATAATTTGTTCCTGTTCTTTTTTATAGTGCATCCTTCCTTGAGCTGTTTCTATATTTTTACTTGGTCGTGTATCTCCCGAATTCAATTTATGGACCACTAAATGTTGCTCTAAAGCCACATCTGCTTGCGCCCTTTTATAATTTTACATCTTGCAATAAGTTATCGTTATTGCCGTGGGTTCAATGCCTGTTTTACATTATTGTGATCTCCCTTGCGTGAGGCGCTCTTTGTTGCAAACAAGTTTATGTCTCTACCATAGTGATTTATTGATGGCTCGAAAACCCTCTTTGTTGAAAAGTCTTTATTTTTATAAACAGATTTGTTTGGTCTGGTGATCAATTATATAGGATCAGTGGCAGTCCTGGTTATTGGCACGTTTGCCTTACTATCCGGGTGGTTTTAGGCCCCTCCCCCCTCCTGCCCCACATTAAATTTGCAAGCAAGCCTTACAACCACGTATAGAAATTTTATACTAAAGTATTAGCTTTCACATTTCATTGTAATTGAAATATAGTTATTTACTTTTCATTCATTACATAATAATAATAATAATAATAATAATAATAATAATAATAATAATAATAATAATAATAATAATAATAATAATAATAATAATAATAATAATAATAAACACAATAATAACTGCAACTTAAAGAAAACTAATGCCCCGCCAGCTAGTAAGTTATAAATGGGATAAACCCCCCCTCCCCACCCCCACCACCCCCTCCCACGCAGCGCCTGATTGGTATGACTATTATCTCCCCCTCACCCGTCCCAAGGCCCAAGTTTTTGCACTGTTTAATCGTTAGTGCGTTGATTCCTGTAGATAGTTTACTCTATTATCCTTATTTCTTGCTCGAG